TATATATATATATATATATATATATATATATATATATATATATATATTGGGGTGTATTGGCAGCCGTGCGCATGCGCATATCAAATATATTTCTTCGAAAGCAAGCAAAAAGAATTTGTTAGAGTGAAGCTGTCTGTACACCGCAGCAAAATGCATGTAAGCAGCAGCAGCTGCTGCTGGAGCTGCCGTAGACGACAGAGACAATTAGAGAACAATCAATAGATTAGCAGCAACAGCAACATCTACTATTAAACCTGCAGCTGTTCTAGCAGCAAACGCATGCACCGCTTCTCTTCTGCTGCTGCTCGCATGCATTCTGCAACCAACTTTGAAGCCTCGCCGCACAGTCGCCGACGCACACGTCGGGTCTCCTCGACAGCTGGGGACTGCTGGTGCTGCTGCTGCTGCTGCTGCTGCTGCTGCTCTTGTTGTTGTTGATGCTGCCGTTGTTGCTCCTTCTCCACAGGCCTTCCGTCCTTCAGCAGCAGCCCCATTCTCCGCTCCTGTATGCTCCGCTGTTTTTGCTGCTGCTGCTGCTGCTGCTGCTGTTGCAGAGTTGCTGCTGCTGCAGCCAGCACCCGAGGCAGCACTGGGGTCCCCCAAGAGTGCATTTGAGGGGTAGATAACAATCGACACACGGAGTAAGGAAGGACCAATGGACCATTCTTTGTTGCTGCAGCTGCAGCAGCTGCTGCAGCGGTGCGCCGTGCGGCTCTAACTGCAGCAGCAAACACTTCTTCCAAAGACGGCGCCTCCCCCTCTTTCTGCTGCTTCCACGAATCAGCAGCAGCGGCAGCAGCAGTCGCAGCAGCACCAGCCAGCTGAACCACCTGCGACAATCCCGAAGCCTTGCTGTACGCTCGGCGAAGCAACCGCATGATGTCTTGCTGCTGCTGCTGCTGCTGCTGCTGCTGCATCGACCGTGCTAGCTCATAGAGGGCGTCAGTGTCTGCGGAGGGGAAACAACCTGCCAGTGCAGCAACAGAAACGGCTTGCTGCTGCTGCTGCTGCTGCTTCGTGTGCTGGAGCCTGAATTGGAGGCCCAGCAGCCACTCTGCAGGCGGCAGCTGCCATAAGCTGCTGCTGCAGCTATGCAGCAACCCTGCTGCTGCTGCTACTCCCGTACGAAACGCCTCCACAGACACCGCAGGATCAGCAGCAACCCGCGCCACAGGGCCTGCTGCTGCAGCAGCAACAAGCTGCTCAAGACAACCTTCGACACCAAGCTGCCGCTTGTGGCTCTGTTGCTGCTGCTGCACTTCTTCGTAGAGGCGTTCTTCAATTGACCTTCTCGCGCGTGCAGCAGCAGCAGCAGCAGCAGCACCAACCGCCCGATCCCACATTCTAGCCCAGCCTGATAGCAGCACCTGCTGCTGCTGCAGCAGCATCGGCTGCTGACGCAGCAACGCCTTTAGCTGCCTCTCCTGCTGTAGTCCCTCCCACGGGTCTAAGGCAAGACACTGCAGCAATCCCCGCGTAAGCGGCAGCGCGTTGCGCATGCAGCAGCATGAGCACCTGTTGCTGTCGCTGCTGCTGCTGCTGCTGTCGTTAGCAGCTGAGGGAACAACAGCAATACACCGAACCCGGAAGCATGCTGCTGCATGTCGGAGCCTGGAGACAGCAGAAAAGCAGCAACAAAGCCACACAAACATCAGCAAACTCTGCAGCTCCCTAGGCTGCTGCTACTGCTGCAGTTGCTTCTACGGTGCTCGTGCTGCAGCTTAGGCTGCTGCTGCTGCTTCTGCTGCTGCTGCTAGTTTTGCAGGGTTTTTCTGCTTACTCTGGGAGCAAGGAAGAAACGGCATGCAGGAGTTCAGCCCGCACAGCTGCGCATACACTGCGCACTTCGTCATCTACGGAGACAGCGAGGTGCTGCTGCTGCTGCTGCTGCTGTTGCTGCTGCTGGCCTTGGGCTGCAGCACCGCATGACGCAGAAGCCCCCGCTGCAGCTGCTGAAGAGACATTGTAAAACAGCCTCTGCGGCAGAGAGAGAGCAAAGACAACGCACAAAACAGCAGCGCCATCCTGCTGCTGCTGCTGCTGCTGCTGGTTGTGGAGCTTGACAGCGTGTGCTATCTCCGCTGCAGCTGCTGCCCACTGCTGCTTGGCTGCTGAGTCTGCTGCAGCGCTCGCGCTGCAGTCAGTTGCACAAGACGGGAGCTGCACGATGGGGGGAGACATATTATTGCAAACGCCACACGGCTTATCAGCAGCAGCATCTGCTGCTGCTGCTGCTGCTGCTGTTCCGTTGCTGGGTAGAGCCACAAGGAAAGGCAGCGGCAGCAGCAGCATGGCGGCCCCGCCAAGGGCTTCCCTTTCCTCCAGGTTGTAGCTGTCCTCTTGTTCTCGTGCTGCTGCTGTTGCAGCAACAGGAGCACCTGCTGCTGCTGCTTCTAAGGCCCTTCCTGCTGCAGCTGTCTCCTCGCCCCTGCCGGTTATTGCATGCAGCCCACAGTAAAAAGGCAGCGGCTGTGGGGCCCGGGGGACTGAGAGCTGCTGCTGCGGCCAGAGCAGCAAATAGCCTGCAAGCGCCTCCTTCCCTCCTGCTGCTGCTGCAACGTTGCTGCGGAGCAGTACGGGAGCCGAAGTGCTGCTGCTGCTGCTGTTGTTCCTGCTGCGGCTGCTGCCACACGCAACTGCTGCAACAACTCGCAGCAGCAGCGCCTCCACTGCCGAAGAGCGACGGCTAAAGAACACAGCCTTGAAGAAGACGCGGGGAGGGACAAACCGCTGCTGCTGCTGCTGCTGCTGTTCCTGCTGCTGCTGGTTTTGCTGCAGCGTGCAGTGGGGCAGCTGCAGATCAGCAGCTAGAAGAGCATCAAGAACAGCGGGCGGCATCGCTGCAGCAGCAGCAGCAACAGCAGTGGCAAGCATGACCGAGAGGGGTTGCTGCGGCAACTCCGTCTGCTGCTGCAGCAGCAGCAGCAGCAGCTCCTCTGATGATCTCAGCGCATATAAGGCCCTTTCTGAATCCTCACTAACACTGACAGTTTGTGTTAGTGCAATCGCTCTCGCTGGTTCTGCTGCTGCTGCAGCAGGAGCTGCTGCTGCTGCTGCTGCTGTTGCTGCTTCCTTTGCTGCTGCAAGAGCGTCTGGGCCCCTTGCCTGGGTCTGCTTCACCTCTGCGTCCGAACTACTGCTGCACTGCTGCTTCTCCTGCTGCTGCTGTTGTTCCTGCTGCTGCTGCTGCTGTTGCTGCTGCTGCGTTGCAACTGCTTCTTCCTGAACTTCAACTTCTTTAGGGGCGGAGGGGGCAGGCGCCATACTGCAGCTCGCTGCGGTCTTAGCTGCGGGAGAGCCGTCAGTAGCTGCTGCAACAGGAGCTTCTGCTGCTGCTGCTGCTGCTGCTGCGGTGGGTGTTGCTGCAGCAGACGCAACACAAGCAACATTGAGCATGCATGTTTAACGCTCGCAGCACTCTGCAGTGTACGTACAGCTTTAAGTGTGGGGCGCAGCTGCAGCCAGCTGCTTCTTCTTACCGCTGTCTCTGCGCTTCCGTCTCCATTTACGAAGGCCCACAATACCAGGAAGTGTCTCCTCGAGCTCCACTGCAGCAGCAGCAGCTGTCTCTTCATCGGCTGCTGCATCTTCAGGTGTACGTACACTCCAGGCGGGTGAGCCGTGCTGCTGCGCTGCAGCAGCAGCAGCTGCTACTGCACTGGTGCTGCTCCTCGAAGCAACTGGTGCAGCAGCAGCTCGAACTGAAGGCGAACGTCCGCAGGAGTCTCTGCTTGCTGCTGCTGCTGCTTCCTCTTCTTCCTGAGAGACATCACCGCCGTGCTGCTGCGTGCCGTCAGCAGCAGCAGCAGCTGCTGCTGCCGTCGTTGCTGCTGCTGCATCCGCTGCTTCACTAGGAGTCAGCGGCTCTCTTGAAGCCTGGATAGATGGGCGTCTCGGGCTTGCTGCAGTCGTCTTTGATGTCACTGCTGTTGCTGCTGCCGTCGTTGCTGCTGCTGCTGCTGCTGCTGCCTCTGCCGGTGTGCGTGCACTCTCTCCTGCAGCAGGTCCACGGAGTGGGCTCCCTTTCGCTGCTGCAGTATCAGGATCAGCCGCAGCAGCAGCAGCAGCAGCAGATGGTTCCGTACCAATGGAAGGAGAGACCCGCAGCAATTCCTGCTGCTGCTGTGCAGGCGGCGGCCACACGAAAGTGAGCGGCGGCTTTTGCTGCTGCTGCTGTTGCTGCTGCTGCTGTTGCTGCTGCCGTTGCTGTTGCTGCGCTTCGTCCTGCTGGGGCTGCGCTACTGGGCGTTGTTGCCCCTGCAGCAGCATTTGCTGCTGCTGCTGCTGCTGTGGCTGCATGCTCTGTGCTGCTCCGTGGGGCGTTTGCATGCGCTGCGCGCTGTCGGGTAAACCAAAGACGAATCCTCCCGCTGCTGCAGGAGTTGATACAACATGAGAGGGTTGCTGCTGCTGCTGCTGCTGCTGCTGCTGCCTGAGTTTGAGCTGCTGCAGCCTTCTTAGCTTTCTCAGCTCCTCCTCCTGCTGCTCATCCATGCGCTGCTCCTGGTTCTGCTGTTGCTGCTGCTGCACTGCCCTGTGCTGTTTGAAATAGAAAGCCTTACTGAGTTCAGCTGCGCACGGTCTCAATTTCTGTTGCTGCTGCTGCTGCTGCTGCGCAGCAGCAGCAGCAGGGTAGTCTGGGTCGAGCAGCTGCTGCCTTGAGAGGTAGCTGGGAGGCCTAAGATAAGCTGAGGGGGCCCTGGGCCCCTTTGCTTTTTTGTATGAAGTGAGATCTTGAAGGAGACTCTTATCTGTCTCCTCCAGCAAACAAACGGAGGCCCCTCGAGGAGACACCGTCGTGCGGATGCCGTAAGCTGCTAGAAATGCAGGAAACATGTCGCCTGCAGCAGCAACAGCAGCAGCAGTAGAATAATCAACAGCAGCAGCAGAATCAGCATGATCATCATCATCAGCAGCACCATCAGCAGCGGAATCATCAGCAGCAGCAGGATCAGCAGCAGCAGCAGAATCAGCAGCACCATCATCATCAGCAGCAGAATCGGAAGCAGCAGCAGCAGTAGAATCAGCAGAATCATCAGCAGCAGCAGAATCAGCAGCAGCAACAGAATCAGCAGCAGCAGAAACAGCAGCAGCAGCTGACTGTCTTCTCCGTCGAAGCCCAGGAGCATGGAGAGGCGCTCTGAAGTGATAGGGTTGCGGGAGCCGCCAGTAAGTCTGCTTAAGACAAGAGCTGCTAGGAATCGAACGCGCGCGAAGGGTAAGAATTTGTGCAGCAGCAAACAAAGTAAGTAAGGGCCTTCGCGCATTAGCCTGACATATCTTCGTAGGTCTAAAGCCTTTGATGCTCTATAAGCCTCTAAAGCAAACCGTACAGACGGATCTTGCTGCAGCTGCTGCGGCAGCCGCTGCAGCAGAGACACCAGAGCTGTGTCGCTTGCTTCTTGCGATAGCAGCATTAATAATCTAAACCCCCAGAACTCCCCTTCATACGGGCTGCTATAAACTAGCAGGTCAAGGAGGGCCTTAGCATCTTTCTCAGTAGCTCTTCCATCTTCCCCCCCTGCAGCAGCAGCAGCAGCAGCAGCAGCTGCTGCTGCTGCTGCTGCTGCGTCGCGTCTGCTGCGGAAGGCGCGCGCAGCCTCGTACCCCTGCATCAGTTTATCTAAACATGTCTGCATAAGGCCGTGGTTAGAGACAGAGTCAAAGCCAGGGGCCCCTGCAAGCAACTCTTCTGATAGCACAAGGAAACGAAATGATATTTCAAGTGTCTCTATTGAAGCTCGATGAGGAGACACATGCTGCACCGTTAGCTCCTGCCAACATGCACGGAGACGGTCTCTTAGAAAGTTATATACATCCATATATGTATACGGCCGAGCTCGAGGAAACAGATACTCCTTACGAGGCAACACCTGCTGCTGCTGCTGCTGCTGCTGCTGCTGCTGCTGCTGCTGGGGGCCATTGGTTAGGTCAGCATCTGCAAAGTAGGTGAGAAGCGCATGCACAGCCCTTCGACACCAAACTGCTGGGCGGGTGTCTGACTGCTTAAACGGCTTCCCAGCGTCGCTGCGGCGAAACGAAGAAAACGCCAGGTGTACGTTCACCTGCAGCAGCAGCAGCAGCAGCAGCAGCAGCAGCAACAGCAGAGAAGCAGCAATAGCATAGCGACGTCACGAATCGAGCACTGTTACCTCCTAAACATTTGGCTAGCTAGCCACACTTGTCCTTGGGTGTTGGATAGCTAGCTAGCTAGCTAGCTAGCTAGCTAGCTAGCTAGCTAGCTAGCTGCCTCTTGAATATCTAGATATATAGCTGGCTACCTCCTCAGCATTTGACTAGCAGTCTAGCTAGGTACCTCCGCAACATTTAGCTAACTCGGTGCTGCGGCCAGCTAGCCAGCTAGCTAGCTACGTTAAGGAGACAGCTAGCTAGCTAGCTAGCTAGCTACCTAGCCATAGATGCGGTTAAGCTTTGGCTAGCTGGGCGTGGCGCTTACGATGCGGGCTTCTGGGTCTCCGGGGACAGTTGCTTCGAGGCGCTCAAAGTCTGAAGCAGTAGAAACTTGCTGCTTGTCTAACATTTCTTCTGTGCTGCAGCACCCATACAGCTGGCCTACGAAGACACCTCCTGGGGCGGGTTCTGCTGCACCAGGTGCAGCAGCAGCAGCAGCAGCAGCAGCATGCGTCGCAGCGGTAGTAGTAGACCCTCCTGTGGGGCCCTCTTGCTGCAGCTGCAGCAGCTGCTGCATTACCTGCACCCGCAGCATTAATGCATTTGCTGGAGGCTCAGACTGCAGCATAGGGTTTGCTTCGGGGCCCTCAGGAACAGGGAGAGGAGGGGGTATAGCCTTGCCCTCAGCAGCACACAACCTGCTGCGCCCGTGCACTGCTATCACACCGCTGCTGCTGCTGCTGCTGTTGCTGGTGCTGGTTGGATGGTCTCCGGCGGCTGCTGAGGAGGTCTGGGAGCTAGAGAAGAGAGGCTTCTCCTGAGGGGCCCCCCAAACAACAGAGGGCCCTGTGCTGCTGCTGCTGCGGTTAAAGGGCCCCTCAGAGACACCAAATAAGCTGCCTGTGCTTGCAGTTCTTGCTGTTGCTGCTGCTGCAGTGCCTCTTGATGCTGCTGCAGTGCTGCTCTTGCTGCGAAACAATATCCCCCCACCTTCAGGCTGCCGTTGGGGGCCCCTCGTGTCTGTTGTGTTGGGGGCCCCGCTGGCCTGGGGGCCCTGAGGGCCCCCTGTTGTCTTAAGAAATGGTGTTGCTGCAGCTGCTGTTGTTGCTGCTGCTCCAAAGAGACTGCTGCTGTGGGGACCCGATCCCAGGGCCCTCCCCCCAAACAGACCGCCCCCCACAGCAGGAGCAGCAGCAGGGGCCCCTGAAGCAACGCTGCCACCAAAGATGCTGCTGCTGGAGCCAGCAGCAGGTGCAGCAGCAGCAGGTGCAGCAGCAGAAACACCGGTACCGAATAGAGGAGTGGTGCTGCTGTTACCGTTGGGGGCCCCCGTCGTGCTGCCACCGAAGGGTGTGGGGGCCCCAGGGCCCCCTGCAGCAGCAGAAAATATGTTCTTCGAAGCAGGGGCCCCCCCTCCAAAGAGTGAGGATCCGCCTGGGGGGCCCCCCGTGAGGCCTCCAAAGAGGCTTGAGCCAGAAGCAGGAGAAGCAGCAGCAGCAGCAGCAGCAACAGGGGCCCCTCCAAAGAGAGGCGGCCGAGCAGCTGCAGCAGGGGCCCCTACTTGCTGCTGCTGAGCAGCAGCACCAAAGAGACCCCTCCCAGAGGTAGTGGAGCCCGCACTCAGTCCCACACCGAAAAGGGGGCCCCCTGGGGCCCCTGCTGCAGAGGCAGTTGCTGGGTTTGCTTCAGCAGTTGCTGCGGGTGCAGCAGCAGGAGCAGCAGCATTAGACGCAACACCAAGGCTGCCGCTGCTGTTGTTGCTGCTGCTGCTACTGGCAGCACCGAAAAGGCTCCCTACCGCTGTTGGTCGGGGGCCCCCAAATAAACCTGCTGCAGCAGAACTCTGAGATAGGGGGCCCCCCCCTCCTCCTTGACCCCACATTGAACCCGATATAGGGGCTGATAAAGCACCTGTAGTTTGTCTTGAAGCGTCTCCTTGGGTGTTGATGCTGCCAGCAGGAGCAGCAGGAGCAGCAGCAGCAAAGAGTCCCTGCGGCTTCCCTCCTCCAAAGAGACTGTTGCTGGTTCCTGCTGCAGAGCCGCTGCTGCTAAAAAGGCCGCTGCCGCCCGAAGCAGCGGGCTGCTGCTGCGCTGGTGCTGCTGCAGCTGCTGCTGCACCTGTGGGGGCCCCACTAAACAGGCTGGGGGCCCCCGTAGGGATAGCAGAGTTACCCCCAAATAGACGGCCACTGAAGGGAGAGGCAGCAGATGCAGCACCTGCAGCAAACCCACCAAAGAGAGAGGCCCCAGGGGCTGAGGGGGCCCCCTGGAGGGCCCCCTGAGGGGCCCCCTGAGAGGGAGATGGAGAGGGGTTGAAGGGGCCTCCCGGGGGCCCCTGGGTAGAAAGGGTACCAGGGGCCCCCAACATTGAGCGTCTCTGTTTAAAAAGGTATATGCAGATCCATATAAAGATGAAGAGATATCAACAATGTATCGAACGAATGCTGCTGCTGCAGCGGCAGCAGTTGCTGCAGCAGCAGAAACCACTGCAGCAACAGCAGCAGCAGCAGCTGCAGCACGGGCAGGCGACCCCTGCTGTCTGCCTCCTGCCGAACATATGCAAAAAAGAAAGAGATATAAGCTTTAAAACAAAGAAATATATACACTGGGGGCCTCTCATCTCTCTACTATCTCTGCATGCAGCAGGAGGCCCCAGCCGGGCCTACTAGGGGGCCCCATCGGGGGCCTCAGGGGCCCCCTACCCTCTGTGTTGCTGCAACCCTCGTTTAGCTTTTGTTGTTAAGGGCTTATTCTATTTCTTCCTCTTCTATTTATTCAAACAAAAGGAGCTTCCTCCTGAACATAAGGGGGCCCCCCTGTGCTGCAGGGGCCTCACAGCGTAGAAGACATGGGCCCCAGGGGGCCCCCTGCTGGGACCTTGGGGGCCCTCTACTATCTATGGGGTGGAGTGTCTCTGTCTGGGGGCCCCCAGGGGCCCTTAAGGGGCCCCCAGGTGCCCTTAGCGGCCACCCAGGGGCCCTCAAGGGAACCCCAGGGGCCCCCAAGGGGCCCCTACTAAGGGGGGCCCCTCGGGCTGGGGGCCCCCGTTGGCTGCCGCTCTGTCTTTCGCTGCTTCTGATGTCCCTAAGGGCCCCACACGGAGACACCCTTCAGGGACCCCTGCTGCTGAGCTGCCGCAAAACCATGGCTGTTGGGGACAGGAACCTCGGCATTAACAGCAGCAGCAGCAGCAGCAGCAGCGACAGCAGCAGAAGCAGCAGCCTCAAAAGCCTCCGCTGGGGCTTCATCGGACGGTGGCGGCCACTGTGCAACAACAGCAGCAGCAGCAGCAGCAGCAGCAGCACCAGCAGCAGCAGCAGCAGCAGCAGCAAGAGCAGCAAGATATACTCCTTGTATCTCCCGGACAGCCCCAATTGTTTGTCTGCAGGGAGGGGAATTCATTTCTCTCCAAGTGGGCCCCTGAGGACCTCTGCTGCTGCAGCTGCTGCTGCGGCTGCTGCTGCGGCTGCTGCTGCAGCTGCAGCAGCACCTTCAGAAACCAGGAGTGCGGCTACCACAGCCCTTGCCTCAGCAGCCACAGAAGCAGCAGCAACAGCTGCTGCTGCAGCAGCAACAGCAGCAAAAGATTTGTTTGATGCTCCAAACGAGAAGGGCGAGGCCAACGCTAGGGGGCCTCTGAGGGGTGTCTCTGTGTCTCTCAGTCCCCTCATCAGGAGAAGAGACCCTGGGGAAGAGACAAATAGTAAGCAGCAGCAGCAGCAGCAGCAGCAGCAGCACATCGATGCTTAGGCTTTAGGGGCCCTTCTTGCGTGCATGCATGCACAAGTGCTTGCATACACCCCGTGTAAGGACACCTTTGGTGTCCAGAGAGGAGACAAACAGACCCGCTTAAGAGTGTTGCTGCTGCTGTAGCTGATGTTGCTGCTGCTGTTGCACCTGCACACGTTGCTGTTCGTTTGCTGCTGCTCCAGCTGCTTCTGCTGGTGTTGTTGCTGTAGCTGTTGCTGTTGCTGTTTTTGCTGCTGCTGCTGCTGCTGCATGCAGGGATGCTGAGGGGCCCCATGCTGTATGACGCGACGGTTGTCTCTCGCCTGAAGGCAGCGGGGGCCCTTTTGGTGTCCCCTTTGCATGCGCATACATCGGCAGACAATTCCAGCAGCCAAGCACACCTGGAGGTGTCTCCTCTCCCTCCCCTGCAGCAGCGTCTCCAAGGGCCCCCACCTATAATCAGCAGCAGCAGCAGCAGCAGCAGCAGCAGCATTGGGGATTGCGGTGCGGCTAGGGAGGGGCCCCCTGGAGGGGCCCCTCAGGCGCAGCAGGGGTATAGGGTAGCATTCTCTCCTTCTAGGGGCCTTGTTAGTTTGTTTGGCTGTTTTAATGCAGCAGCAGCTGCTGCTGCAGGAGACACTGCAGCAGCAGGAGGAGACACTGCAGCAGCAGGAGGAGACAGTGCAGCAGCAGGAGACAGTGCAGCAGCAGGAGGAGACAGTGCAGCAGCAGCTACGGGGGCCCCTCAAGGCCGATCGCCGCTACTTAGGGCCTCCTGGGGGGCCCCTGGGTTGTGGCTGTGCAGCAGCAACGTGGGGCTGCTGCAGCGGCTGCTGCATGCACTGGGGGGCCCTGACCCTGCAGACTTTAAATCTGTTTGCTTCCACAGGGATCTTAAAGATGAAGAAGAAGGAGGGGGAAGCAGCAGCAATAAAGAAGAGAGACAAACAGAGACAGAAAGGAGACACTCGTTATGCAAACGAGCTGCATGGCTGCAAGTTAGGGACACCACAACTGCAACAAAAACAAAAGAGGGCCTTACCCCTCAGCAGCTGCAGCAGCTGCAGCAGTTGCAGCAGCTGCGGCAGCAGCAGGACGGGGGAGAGCAGCAGCAGCAGCAACAGCAACCTCCAGTGGTTTGTCTCTCTAAAGAGACACTTGAGCAGGCAACCGTTGGGCTGTCTCTGCTGCAGTGCTGCGAAGCAGCAACTCTCCTGCTGCGGCTTGGCGAGGGGGCCCCTCAGGGGCCCCCCGTATATAAAGGGTGAGGGTTTAATCTACAGGATGAAGGACGATGACGAACAGCAGCAACAGCAGCAGCAGAAGCAACAGCAGCAGCAATAGCAGCAGCAACAGCAGCAGCAGAAGCAACAGCAAAACAAGAGACTCGTTCTGGTGTTTGTGTGTTGGGGTGTCGCAGGCAAGCACAGAGCTCTAAAGAAAACGCTGAGTTGCATCAGCAGCAGCAACATGAGCAGCAGCAGCAACAAGAGCAGCAGCAACAGCAGCAGCAGCAGTGCTTCAAGATGAGGGTGGTGGAGGACAGGGCACGAGGCCTCAGCCCCGAAGTACAATTTAAAATGCTGTTAGGTGAGACAGACAGAGACAAAAGGAGACAGCACATTGAGAGAGACAATAAAAAGAAAATAAGGAGACAGATATAGTAAAAAGAGAGTAAGGAGAGAGAGACAATAAAAAGAGAGTAAGGAGACAGAGACAATAAAAAGATAGTAAGGAGACAGATATAATAGACAGAAAGTAAGGAGACAGAGACAATAAAAAGAGACAAAGAATAAACAAACAGAGACAATAAAAAGAGACAAAGAATAAACAAACAGAGACAATAAGGAGCGACAAAGAATAAACAAACAGAGACAATAAGGAGCGACAAACAAAAAGCAAACAGAGACAATAAAAGGAGACAAACAACTAAGGCAATAAACAGAGACAAACAACACACAGAGTAAACACAGACAGACAAAGGAGATAAACAAGCAAGACAAAAACAGAGGAGACAAACAAGTGCAGCAGACAAAGGAGACAAACAAATGAAGAAGACGAAGGAGACAAAAGAATAGAGAGACAAACAGCATAAACAACACAGAGAGAGAGACAGGCACAGCTAATATTTACACAAAAGAGAGACACACACGAGAGATGCAGCAGGAGAACAACAAACAGAAAAAGGAGACAAACAAATAAAAAAGAGAGACAAACAAACAACAGAGACAAACAGACAGCAGAGACAAACAAACAAAAGGCAAAGACAAACAAAGAAGAGAGACAAACACAGAGCAGAGACAAACAGACAGCAGAAGCAAACAGACAGCAGAGACAAACACCAAACGGAGACAAACAAAACAGGGAGACAAGAAAAGGAGACAGCATAGAAAAAACAACACATACAAAAACTCAAGAGGCAGAACGGAGACAGTTTATTTGGGGTGTACGCGCAGCTCTAAAGAGACACCTGGAGACACACAGAAGTACACAGCACTCATAGTTTAAGAAGGAGACAGGCAACGTTATAAGGCCTTAACAAGTACAGCATTCAGGAGGAGACACTAAAAATATTCTTAGTGTAGCTTTATCTTTGTCTCCTTCTGCTGTCTCTGCATCGCCTTGCTGCTGCTGCAGGAGGGACAATCCTAAGAGACCCCACAAAAGCCTCTTTGCTGCAGCGAGCAAAAGAAGCAAAGTGGGCCCTGCACCACCACCTTCAACGCCTGTTCAAAGAGGCTGACCTTCTCCTCCACTTCGCAGGGGCCCCTCCCCCTGGGGGCCCCCTCTCTGGGGGCCCCTCTTATGGAGGCCCCTTTTCTGGGGCCCCTGGCTCTGGGGGCCCCTCCTATGGAGGCCCTTCCTATGGGGGCCCTTCTTCTGAGGGCCCCCGCTCTGGGGGCCCCTCCTGTGGGGGCCCCTCCTGTGGGGGCCCCCAGGGGGGCCCCCTTGCAGGAGGGTACAGGGGCTCTGAGGGCCACATATCTCCTGTGTCTCCTCTTGTGCTGGAGGAGGAGACCCTGGAGAACCCCGTGGGGCAGAAGCATCAACAGCAGCAGCAGAAGCAGCAGCAGCAACAGCAGCAGCAATCGGTTACAACCCTGAGAAGCAGTTCGAAGGGGGAAGGCGAGGGCCCCCATGAACAACTAATTGCAGCAGCGACGGCTTTAGGCCTTCCTTGTTTTGTCTCCTCAGATGGCTGGCTGCTGTTGGGGGCCTCAGGAAGAGACACACAGGTGCTAACAGCAGCAGCAGAGCTTGACACAACCCTAAACCCTAAACCCTAGGTCCAACCCTATAAACCATAAACCCTTCACAGCCCTCGTTGTTTAGGGTTTACGTTTAGGGTTTAAGACTTAACGCAGCATCTTTAGGGGAACCAGCTGGCATACAGAGCCTAGAGAAAAGGAGATAAACTCTTCTCCTCCTTGGGATTTAATGGGGCTTTTTCAACGGCAACACGGCCTATGCATGCATGCATGCATGCATAGGCCTTGTTGCATGCATGCATGCATAGGCCTTGTTGCATGCATGCATGCATGCATGCGGGATTTGACTCCATCTTTTTTCTTCCGTGTTTCCCTGGTACTTCAATCTTTATTTCATGCAGCACTGGCGATAGACCCACACCCTAAAACCTAAACCCTAAACCCTAAATGAGGGTCCCTTTAGTAGTGTGACAGCCCTTAGTTGCCCCCGCGTCTCTCTTAAGCCCTTTATATATATTATATTATATTGTAGAGTCGTCGGGTCTTCATAGACTAGGGTTTAGGGTTTGGCGTGCATCAAGGGTTTAGGGTTTATGAATGCCAAGTAAATTGTTCAGGAGAGTCTCTGCGGTATTGAGAGACAAAACAAAACAAACTCAGGCGATAAAGAAGGAGGCGCTGCATGCAGCTAAGGAGAAGAAGGCCATACAGCAAACAGCAGCCATGCATGCAGACAGACTGTCTCCTCCTAGGGAGACAAACCGTCTCCGTGTGTATAGAGACTGTCTCCGTGTGCATAGAGACAGTGTTTATACAAACACTGTCTCTATATGTATAAAGACTGCTACCGCGTATAGTAGGCCTGTCTCCGTGTGTATAGAGACTGTCTCCGTGTGTATAGAGACTGTCTCCATGCGTATAAAGAGACTGTCTCCGTGTGTAAGGAGACTGTCCCTGTGCGTATATGAAAGCTGTCTCCTTTATTCCCTGATAGAGATGGCTCCCTGGGTAGCGAGGAGGGGACTAGAAGGAGACAGTTTATAAACTTAGGGAAACAGCGCTGCCTACATATGAAAGGAGACCACAACAAAATCACACTGTCTCCTTTTGTCTCCTCCTGTCTCCTTTATGCAATGTCTGGCGACGTCTCTGCATTCAGCTCTTGTACGTCAGCCGGGGGCGATGCCTTCTCCTCCTATGGAGTGTACAGAGACAGACAAACAAGTAAATAAATAAATAAATAAATAAATAAACTAATAATAAGTAAAATCAAGATACGCACTGCGACGATACAACCCAGCTGCCTATACACCCCAACATGCCAAACCCTTAACATGAGGGCTCCTACGGCGCAGAGCACAGAGAAAAAGGGTTTAGGGTTTGAATAATAAAGCTAATAAGCAAATATTAATGTAAAACGATGTCTCAATCGTAAGCAGCAAACACTCAACAACAAACCCTAAACCCTAAACCCTAAACCCTACGAAGAACACAGAGCTCTGAGCCCTAATATACCCTAGACCCAAGTATCAAGGAACCTTAAAAACCCTAAACCCTAAACCCTAAACCCTAAACCCTAAACCCTAGAGAACGTACAGAGATGGGGTGCATGCCTACAGGGACGGTATGGCCAGCACTCCCTGTCTTCCTTAAGGCCGACAGATGAGGAGACCCAGCACCTGCAGCAAAGGAGACAAAATAAATAAATAAATAAGTAAATAAATAAATAAATAAATAAATAAATAAAGGAATGAACAAATACTACTGGTTTGTTTGTTGGTAGTCGCTTTGACTTTTTGTTGGCTGCGCTTTTAAATGCTTATTTCTTCTTTTGTTTGTCTCTTGAAGATATATACAATATGTACATTTATATCACCAGCACTATATATATATATATACATCTAGCATAGTTTATATACAACATATATAATATATATACATGAAAAACACAAAAGACACAAAAGACAAATAACCTCAGAGCCAATCCAGCAGGAGCAGCAGGAGTAGCAGGAGCAGCAGCAGCAGGAGCAGCTGCAGCAGGAGCAGCAGCAGCAGGAGCAGCAGCAAGTAAGTGTATAGACTTTGTACCTGGTGTATGTACAGGGTTTTCTAAGAGGTGTCTCCTTATTGCTTCCCCTGTATGTTCATCTTGCTGAGGGAGACTGCGTCTGCTGCATGTTCTGGATGCAGGTCTACTGAAGCTAGGGACAGAGAGACGAGGCGACTCTCCTGCTGCGTTGCTGTCTCCTCCTCCCCGTACACTGTACCGACGGCCCAATGCCCTGTGGAACCCTATTATAGAACCACGTCGAGACACCCCAGAACGATAATCTTGCTGCTTGCTGAAACACACAAATGCGTATACATATATATATATATATATATATATATATATATATATATTGTGTACATGTATGCATACAGCTGCATATATACATATACATATATACATATATATATATATATATATATATACATATAATTGATTAAATCCGGTTATTGCATGCGTTCAATAGAGGAGGAAAGGAGACAGAGAAGGCGAAAGAGACAAAGGAGACAGTGCAGCAGAAAGAGATAAAAAAAGGCAGTGAAGCGACAATCCATGCACACACTTTAAATAAAGACAAGCCAAGCGCATGCAGCAAACAATACAATAATAGACTTAAATAAACACAGTAAAAGACAAGCAAAACGCATGCAAACAAAAATAAAACTTACCTCGATTCATCACGCCGCGGCACTGAAGAAGTAATCCCCTGAGGAGGTAGCAAAGGAGACCCCTCAGGCTGTGCTGCTGCTGCTGTCTCCTCCTCAGGTACCTCGCCGCTGCAGCAGCAATCACCCATACTGTGCATGCATCAATGCATGCGTGCACGCCTGCATGCATGCATCCATAGCGGCCCCACAACACCGCCACAGCAGCAGCAGCAGCAGAAACAGCAGCAGCAGCAACCGCAGCGGAAACAGCAGCAGCAGCAACAACAGCAGCAGTATATGGGACGCACGCGGGGTGTATAATGTAGGAATCAACAGTTTTGTTGATGACGCAGACAGTCTTATTGAAACGGAATTTAAATTTGCTGAGAAGAGACAAAACAAACAAAAAACATACATATACCAATCAATAAAACACTCTGACAACCATAGATGCATGCATGCATGCATGCATGCATGCATGCACCACGAATTTGTTTGCATGCATGCATTGGTTTGCATGGATGCATGCACTAACGCATGCATTGATTTGCATACATTGCTCTGCATGCATGCATCACATCGCGTGCACGCCAGCATTGATTTGCATGCACGCATGCATGCATGCATGCATGCATGCAAGGGTTTGGCTAATGATGTACCCTGGGAAGTGTTTGATGAGGAAGTCTTTGAGGACAGCGCTGACATTAACTTTGCCGGGCTCTCCGTTGCTCTCCATCATATTACCAGTCAGCACATCCATACCCCACAAGTCGTATCTGCAGCAGCAGCAGCAGCAACAGCAGCAACAGCGGCAGCAGCAGTGAACATATAAGGCCTTTCTAGAGCCTCAATGCAACGAAGCATCCACATAGAGGAAGAAGCAAGGCCCCTATGCTGTTGCTGCTGCTGCTGCGGCTGCTGCTGCGGCTCCTGCTGCTGTTGCTGGTGCCGTTGCTGCTCTAGATGCTGATGCTACTGCTGCTCTTGATGGTGGTAGAACAGCAGCAGCAGGAGCTGCTGCTGCTGCAGCAGCAGCAATTCGCTTCGTACCTGAGGCGTCCTGAGCCGATCACCCCGCCTACGCAAGTGCCGTAGTGGAGACCTGCCCCACATCGCCACATGCACAAAAAGTGTCTCCTTTTGGAGTTTGTTTGTTCAATGAAGTGTCTCCTTGTCTCCTTTTGAACTTCATTGGCTTATAAACTGCCTCCTTTTGCTGTTTATTTTATGTTGGGTCTGTCTCCTCAAGCCACCAAGTGTACGAGGAGACAAAAAACAGGTTTATAGAATAATAAATATACAACAACAATAAACAAATAAATAAAATATATTTACTAAGGAAGAAGGAGACAGCAGAAGCTGCAGTCTCCTCGCTCTGGCTGCCAATGCAGACAAGGAGACAGATGCAAGAATAAAGACCAACAGAAACAGAGACAGAAAGAGAGAGAGCGACAATGAAACAAACAAAAAGAACATTAAAATAAAGAGACAAACAAAGAGCGAAGCACAGAGCCTGAACCAGAGAGAGACAGAAGAATGGCGAGAGGAACACAAAAGGAGACAAAAAAGGAGACAGAAAAGGAGACACAAAGGAGACATAAAGAGACACATACGGAGACACAAAGGAGACACAAAGAGACAGAAAAGGAGACAGAAAAGGAGACACAAAAGGAGACAGTTCTTACCTATACGCATGTTGAGGCTGGGTATATTCAGGCGCTCTCTTACATCCTGAATATTTGATATCATCGACTGCGCCATCGTCAACACCAAACTCGTACCCTCCACTGGATCGTAGTCCTGTACATACATGCATGCATGCATGCGTGCAGCCCTTTTCATGCATGCATGCGTGCATTCATGCATGCAGCCCTCGTCATGCATGCATGCAGCCCTTTTCATGCATATAGCACTCTTCATGCATGCATGCGTGGAGAAGACAAAGACACAACAAAATAAAACCAGCTAGAAGACCGAGACAAACAGAAAGATAAAAACTACAAATACAAATGAGGAAAGGAGACGAAGACAAAACAAAAAAAACATAAAAAGAAGACAAAGACAGACAAAGACAACGAAAAAAATAGCAAAGACAAAGACAAAGACAAAGACAAAGCCAAAGACATACCTCGTTGTCTTCAGTAACCGGCTCGCTAACCGCCACATAGGCGTCTCCTATGGTGCAGAGTTTATAAAGTTTATATTTTGTGCTGTCTCTATCAAAACGAGCAAACAGCTTCTGCAGCATAGTCACTACCTGGACACAGCAGCAGCAGCAGCAGCAGCAGCACCAAATCAAACAAAAAGGAGACACACTGCAGCAGAGACACACGTACACCCCAGGATGCAGACTACACGGAAACGCGCTCTTTGCGGTGTACGTACACGCAGAAAGGAGACAATAAACACAAAAAAAACATAGAAGAGAGGCTGATATAAATTAAGAAAAAAAGGAGACACCCTAACGAATAAATTGTAATGCAAGCAAACAAAGAAGGAGACACCACAACAAACAAATGCTACTACAAAAAGACAAACAATAATACAAACTCGCAGCAAGGCAGCAACCGAAGCAGCGAACAACAGATAGAACTAAAGACACAATAAGGGGACAGAAAGAGACAAAACAGAGACAGCAGAAGAGACAAAACGGAGACAGCAGAAGAGACCAAAAGGATACAGCCGAAGAGACACAGGAGAGCAAAGGAGACAAAAAGCAGGCAGCGAGGAGACAGAAAGGAGACAGCAAGGAGACAGTAAGGAGACAGAAAGGAGACAGAAAGGAGACAAAAAAGAGACAAAAAAGAGACAGTCTCCTACTCACTTCGCACGCATCGACGTTCTTAGCCCAACTCGTAAACCCGCAAATATCAGCAAAGAGGAAAGTCATTCGGTCATGGGTATAAGCTAAGCGAAGTTTGTCTTGTTGAAACTCCTCAAGTACCTGCACATACACCCCAACTAATGCTACAAGATATGCAATTAACATATACTGTGCATGCATGCAGGTAAGATATCTGCTAGGATGGTGGATATTGCAGGAAGAGAGGAGACAGGAGGAGATTGGGGGAGACAGCGGAGCAGAGAGGAAACAGTAGAGGAGACAAGAGCCATCAGTAGAGTAGACAAAAGGAGACAATAGAGGAGACAGTAGAGGAGACAAGAGGCCTCAGTAGAGTATACAAAAGGAGACAGTAGAGGAGACAGTAGAGGAGACAGGCCTCAGTAGAGTAGACAAAAGGAGACAGTAGAGGAAACAGTAGAGGAGACAAGAGCCATCAGTAGAGTAGACAAAAGGAGACAATAGAGGAAACAGTAGAGGAGACAAGAGGCCTCAGTAGAGTATACAAAAGGAGACAGTAGAGGAGACAGTAGAGGAGACAGGCCTCAGTAGAGTAGACAAAAG